TCAAAAGGGGGTGCGAAAAAGTCAAGCTACAGAGAGCAGTGATCTTTGCCTTGAAAATTTAGAGGCATTATCTGTATGGTGAGAAGTTTGAAGTATTTTCTGATCACAAGAGTCTGAAATATTTGTTTACATAGAAAGACTTAAATCTGAGGCAGAGGAGGTGGATGGAGTTTATAGAGGATTATGATTTCAAGCTACATTATCATCCGGGAAAAGCCAATGTTGTGGTTGACGCCTTAAGTAGGAAATCAATTAGCAGTGTAGCTTGTATTGCCATCCGGGAATGAGAGATGTTGGGTGCTATTGGGGAGTTTGACTTGCATCTTGGCAAGTCTGATGAGTCCGCGATCTTGTTTTCGGTTGCTGTACAACCTACACTTATGAACCGAGTGATAGAAGCACAAAAGAGTGACCTTGAGGTAGAATCCCTTCGGGAGAAGATCTCTAGTGGGAAAGTGGAGAAAGGCTTGAATGTGTATCCCAACTTGAGTATGAGATACCATGACCGTCTTTTCATGCCGGAGTCTTGCCTGAGAGGAAGTACTTCGAGAGTTTCACCATTCACTCCTTGCGGTGCATCCGGCAAGCACAAAGATGTATCACGACCTTTGTCGCCAGTTTTGGTGGAGGGAAATAAAGAAGGATGTGGCTATGTTTGTGTCAAGGTGCTTTACTTGTCAACAAGTGAAGGCTGAGCATCAAAGGCCAGCGGGTTTGTTGCAACCCTTGCCTATTGTCGAGTGAAAGTGGGAATATATCACCATGGATTTTGTTGTGGGCCTTCTGAGAACACAACGGGGTAGTGATGCCATTTGGGTGATAGTTGATCGGTTAACTAAGTAGGCGCATTTTTTACCTATGCGTGTAAGTGATTCGGTAAATTATCTTGCCGATCTTTACATTAGGGACATAGTGAGGTTAGACGGGGTCCCTGTAACGATTGTTTCGGATAGAGATCCCCGTTTCACGGCTCAGTTGTGGTAGAGCCTACAGAGTGCTTTGGGCACGAGACTGACCTTTAGCACTGCATATTATCCTCAAACTGACTGGCAGTCAAAGCGCACCATTCAGATTTTACACGATATGCTTCAAGGTTGTGTCCTTGACTTTAAGGGTTCGTGGGAGAGTCACTTGCCCTTAGTGGAGTTTGCTTATAATAACAGTTTCCAGTTAGGGATGGCAATTTGAACCCGGCGCAACAGGGACCCGGACCGCCCCGTCCCGATAAACCTGGTTTTTCCCAAAAATTACTCCCCATAGGACCGGGGCTAGTAGTAAAAAATAGATCCCCGATGATTTTCGGGCCAGGGATGGTGATAGATGCCTTGGCCTTGGCCCCAACCCAAGCCTAGCCCCGCCCCGATCACGCCCCGATCAGTCCTCGTGTGTATATATATATGTGTGTTTAGAAATTAGTGGTTAGTTTATTATTTATCTCAAAAACTCTCTCTCTTTCTCACTCTCTCTCTGTCTCGTTCTTCTCCCCTCCTCTACTCTCTATGTGACTGAGAGATGAGAAAGAAGCAAAGGTCCAAGCCTTCGTCGCCTCCTCTCCTCTTTGCCTTCACCATTGTCCATCATCGCCTCTTCTCCTCCTCTCCGTAGTCCACTTCGCCCATCCGTGACCTCGTGAGCAGTGAATCCTCTATCATTGCCATGGTATGGTGGTGGATCGGAGACAGCGTAGCCTCGATCCTCCTCCGTTGCCTCCGATTTGTGTTGATCTGTAAGTTATACACAAACTTTGATATGTTGATCTGGGGTCTACGGCGGTGGATCAGACCCCAAAATATTATCTGTGTTGATCTGTTGATGACTTTGACTTTCCCTACGCTGCTATATTGATCTATTGATGATTTTTTTTTTTTTTGGGTATTTGATGTTGTATTTGATCTGTAAGTTATACACTGACTTCTGTATTGCTGGTTTCTTTTTTTTGGAAGGGGAATTTTCGGGGTCAGGGAAACCCGATCCTCGTTAGAGGGCGGGGGTGGGGGTGGTGATAGGCTCCCTGTCAAGGATTGGGGACGGGGCCATTTCTACCATCGGGGACAGGGAGTATAATCCCCGGCCCTAGCCCGACCCGTTGTCATTCCTATTTCTAGTCAAGTATTGACATTGCACCGTTAGAGGCCTTGTATGGTCGACTGTGTAGATCCCCGGTGTGTTGGGCCGAGGTGGGTGATGCGCCTATGTTGGGTCCAAAGTCAGTCCAAGAGACAATGGAGAAAGTTACACGTATCCGTAAGAGGTTGGTTACGGCCCAGAGCTGCAATAAAAGTTATGTCGACTGTAGGAAGAGACATTTGTCTTTTGAGGTGGGAGACTACGTATTCTTGAAGATATGCCCTAGGAGAGGTTTGATGAGATTTGGGAAGAGTGGGAAGTTGTCCCCTCGATTCATTGGGTTTTTTGAGATCCTTGAGCGGATTGGAGAGGCAGCTTATCGTTTGGCCTCGTCGCCACAACTTTCTGGGGTTCATGATGTGTTTCATATTAGCATGCTTCGGACATATGAGCCGGATCCATCGCATATGTTGGATTAGACCAACATAGAGGTAGATGAGGATGCCTCGTATGAGCAGAGACCGGTGAGAGTCTTGGATACCCGGGAGCAAGTCTTACAAGACATGACCATTCCCTTGGTTAAGGTATTGTGGAAACATTATGGGGTAGATGAAGCAACTTAGGAACGGGAGTTGAAAGTCCGTGAGAAATACCCGAACTTATTTGTTAATGCTTGACCATGTATTAAGATTTTATTTTATTATTATTATTAGTATTATTTTGATAAGTATATGTATTAAGATTTTATTGTATTAATGAAATATGAAAACATTGTATATGTTATAAGACTATAAACATTGTATATGTTTTGGAAATATGAATTGTGTATTCAATATTGAAAGTTTGTTTGTCATGGTGATGTGATTGAATGACCAGAGAATGGATTATGGTGGTGGAATTAAATGATTATCATTATTGTAATTGGTTTTAACTTAGTTTTAAAACTTGATTTGAATTAGGTTTTTGTTTTCAGTTTTGATCAATTTAAGAGAGAGGCTAGCTCAATGAAGTTGTTTATGATTTTGGAAATGATTTTTCATTCTCTGTCATTGATCAATTTTAAAGAGAAGCCAGCTCGATAGAGTTGATTTTAATTTTTGAAGTTCATTTTTCATTCTCTGTTTTTTAATCAATTTCAAAGAGAGTCGACAGTTGAGTTGATTTTGATTTTTATAGTTCATTTTTCGTTATCTGTTTTTCATCAACATGCTTATCAATGATAAGTTTTGTTCTCTATTTTTTTAAACAAGAGAAATTTCTTTAAACCAAAGATAAGTGTAAATTTCTTATCATTTTTTGTTCTCTATTTTTTTTGCACTTTTCTTGGTAGTTCAGAGAAAATTGTAAGTTTGTTATTATAATCCAACGAAAATCATAGAGAAAATTATAATTTCATATGGATATATTATTATAAGTTTCTAATGTAGATAGAATCACAGAAAAAATTATAAGTTTGTAATCCAGTGAAAATCACAGAGAAAATTGTAAGTTTGTAGTCCAATGAAAATCACAGAGAAAATTATAATTTGTTATGGACATATTATTATAAGTTTGTTGTTTTTTATTTTTAATTTTCTCAATTGAATGCTTTGTGAACATAATAGATCTTCTCTATCAGTTTGTCTATGTTTGTGTGGAATAGTAAACATTTTTGCCTTTTGATGTTAATGTGTTTTTGTTTTTCTGATCTTGAAAGTGAATAGTTCTTAAATTTCTCTGAACTTTTATTTGTAGTTCAGAGAAAATTATAAGTTTATTATTATAATTCAGAGAAAATCATAATTTTATTTGGACATGTTATTATAAGTTTGTTATTTTTTATTTTTAATGTCCTCTAGACTAGATATATGAATTGGGAATTTAATTGAATGTTTTGTGATTAAATTTCAATGTTTCATTTCTAAGCAAAAGTTGTTTTTTGTGTTTTTTCTTTCAGTTTAGATGGACAGTGCAGTGTCTAGCTCGTTTGTTTTGATTTTGGAACTCTGGATTTGTAATCCCTTTCGGATTTGTACGCATTTACAAATGGATGAGCAGTTTGGCTGGGAGATGTTGGGTGACCGGTCGTCCATAGGGATGTCTTGCCAAACGCCCGGCTGGACATCTGGCCAGTCAACTAGCCAAGTTTTTTTTTTTTTTTTTTTAACATGTTCGACATTTTTTTTTTCTTCTTTTTGTTATGATTTTTGATTTTATGCAATTATGATTGTATTATATGAACTTTTATTTATGTTTGTTATGAAATGGGGATTTGGTTTTGGAAAAGGCTGAGGCAAAACTTCATCTGGAAGAGGTATTTCAGCTGAGAATAAACATGTAAGCATCTTTTGTTTTCTTTGCCTTTGCATTTTTTTTTTTTTTTTGGACTAAAGTATTTATGTACTAATTTAGTTTGCAATTTATGTATTAACTTTGGTTTGCAACTCAGGATTTTCGAAGAGGGAGCCCTTCAATGCCTACTCAATGTGTGACACAGGTCACAAGAACATAAGGTTAGTGTAGATAACTTCACTTTAGATTTTAAATTTTATTTACATAGTACAGATTCAAGACTAAGTTGTTTTTGTTTTTGTTTTTTTGTTTTTTTTTTGGTTGTTTCTTGCAGATAACTTCACTACTTAATGATAGTTTTTGGGTACATATGTGTGACAATGAACATGTACATAATATATAGATAGTGCATAATACTTATAGGATGATGCATCCACTTTTGTTTTTTTGTTGTGGACATCTTCATCATACTTTGTAACTATGATGTAGTGATAAATGAGGAGCATAGTGCTTAGCTGTGAGATAGTGATTGTTTCTTTTTTGGAGATGTAAAACTTTTGTGACTCTTTTGGGATGTAACTGTCAACTAACTATGAAGCATCAAATGGAACTATAAAGCACTAATATTTGAACTTGTTTATATATGTTTAAAGCACTCATAATTGGGACGCATATATTGGGATTTCCCATGCTTTCATTCCAAGGAAAAATTAGTACAAACTTGTTGTCTTACACTTAAATAGAACTGGGTTTACATATTTCATTACACAAAAACTAGCACAAGTTTGTCATACGAGGATATCTTTGCATTACATAACCCATAGAACAAGTTTCACATATGATAAGTAGGTTCGTTCATAATGGCAACAAACAAGGCAAACAAACTTATGACTAAACTTATGATTATTATCAGTGGCTTTATATATCCTTGGTTGCTTTCAAGTACTTGCAGTCTTGTATGCACATCCTTGAAATTGCCTCGAGGTAGTGGCCTTTGAACAATATCAATACTTTCATTAGTTGAGTTAACAGGTTTGCACCAATCCCAGAATTTGCATTTTCTTTCTGCACAAGCATAATACAACTTTCCTTTGTTTTTGTTTCTTTCAGATTGTGTCACCTCGATAGCCGCCTTTTGACCACAAAGACATGTTTTGTTTCTATATTTCAGTATGTTGCTTCCATTGCTTGATGATGCCATATCACTGTACCTGTGCATGCATACAATATATATATATATATATATAAATCCATAGTTCACAAATAAATAAATAAATACACAGAACAAAGAGAGATAAAGAAAGAAAGCTCACATGAAATCTTTATCCATGTCAAGCAAGGTTGTAGAGAGAGAGAGAGAGAGAGAGAGAGTGAGTGAGTGAGAGTTTGGAGGAAAAGTTAACAGGTCCTTGGAAATTGGAAGCAAATAGTTAGAAGGGGTGTATTGCTTTGTAACGGATGACAAATGTATTTTGGGCATTTGCATGTTTATTGTGGCTGATGTCATTGTTTTTGTTACTTTATTAATGTCATTCTAACAACAGGGGAGAATGTGTATTATTTTCAAAAGTAAGGAAGGTTAGTGTTATTTTTTAAACTACATGGGAGGTCCCTGTAATTAAGGTAAACCTTAGGGGAGGTCAATGTAATTTATCCAAAAACCTATGAAAGAGGATATTTGGATCACTTCAAACAATCATGAAGATAAAACTACAATATATCTTGTCCAGAACCTGAATATCTAATAAATATCCTATCTCAATGATAAGCTTTTCATATTAGCTCTCACATATTCACATACAAGCCTTGCTCCTAATGCTCACAAAATTCTCAACTGCGACACACATAATACTGAGATAGTTCTTCATACATGATCAAGTACTTCATGAACGACGAAAATTATTACCTCGAACAGGACTCTGAAAAGGTCAAAGATAGTCAAGATGGTGGACCATGAGTTTGTATGTGCAAGGACTCCATAGCTGTGTTCACTACAATTACCACAATTTGCACAACAAAAGTACAGAAAAATTATAGAACAGATGGGCACTTTGCTAACCCCCTTAACTTTCCCCTTCTTTCCCATCATTTCCCATCCTCTATGCACCTTTTCACCCCAGCCCCCAAAACCAACCACCTCCTCCTCTCCCTTACCCCACCCCCACAATTAACAACCTCCCCATCTCATCTGCCTCCTCTATTTTCTCCTCTAAAATATAATCTCTTTCAACATGCAACCCTCTTTCATAGACCAACTCCACTTGTCACTGATCACGGCCCACCCATTTCTCTCCACCCTTCCTTTTCACAGCCTCTACTGTAAACCACTGCCACTTGTCATCTCTTACAACCCACCCCCTTCCCTTTTAGCTTTCCTACCCTCGCTTGCCCTCCGCTATAAACTCCCCATTTCCCTTTCCTCCTATTCCCTCTACTAATGGTGCAAACACACCACCCGATCTCCTCCACTAACCCCAGAAATTCACAGCCTTTTTGCTTCTCTAACGATGCATACCCATTATAACTTTAATATTTTCGACCGATTTGAAGTTGGTTTTTGAAATGGATGGGTGTCAAGATAGGGATGGTTTTTGGGTTTGGGTTTGGGTTTGGATTTGGGTTTAGGCACTAAAGTAGGAAAACTTAATTTTTTTAAGGACCAAACTGTGACAATTTTTGAAAATCAAAAACTACCCATTAACAATAGCGAGAGTTGGTAAATGGACAAAAGTGAGAAACCAAAAATAGTTTAAGGACCAAAGTGGAAATATCTTTTTTGAAGGAGCAACATGAGAAATGACCCATACTTTCGGAGGTGAAAGTGTAATTTATTCTTTTATGTATTTCACAAAGTGGCTGCTCTGAGAATGACATTTGCACACTAACTACGTACACTTAAATTAAACACAACTGCAGTAGTAGTGGGAATAGAATTAAAATGAAAATAGAAATATAAAAATATAGAACAATGAACAGTATATTAGTATTTATGTAACTCATCATGGTGGTTGCTATATCCACATTCAACGATGACAAGATAATGCCATTGCCATACTTTAGTTTAAAGATGGTATGCTTCCCCTCTCTTGGTTTATTTGCTGTCCTGTAACTTGTACAATCTTAGTCTTGGTTAAAATTTTGTTTCTCATATATCATAAAAATTCAGCCATGGCATTCTAATTAATAGAGATACAATAGAGTGGATAGAACAAGGAATGCATATGTGAGATCCTCAATCATCTTCATATCCTAAATGGTGTCAACTTTAACTATGTTTGAGTGATTTTTCTTTGTCCATAAGCATTACGAGTATGAATATATAAACATTAAACAACAATAGAGGGAACCAACAAAGACATTTCCATTTTTACCAATATAGTTGATAATACCTTTTCATTCTTTCCCACGCTTCACATTCTCTCCCAATCCCGTGGATTCGTTCAGGAGAGATTAGGCTCTCTACATAGGTGCCCCCAGATGTAAAGATACCTGGAATGCCACAAACCACCATATCCCTCGATGTTTCATCTTTCGAATTGTATACAACCAATTGCTCTTCATCCCTTGAAAACAAAAATTCACCATCTTCTAATAAATCCATCAATTCAATCCTAGAGATGTCATCAGGCTTACCAATAGTAAATTTAGTCCAAGACTCCTTTTTCCCGTACTCCTTCATCACCCAAACATCAGTGAAAGCCTGTAAACAAAGATACCCTCCAAGAACTGCTGGATAAAACCACGGCGACACAACATTATTATATTCATCCAAAAACACAGCATTATTAACGAAAGGCGGTGGCAAAAATTCCCGGAAAGTTTCATTCCCCAAATCAAAAGCAACAATGACAGGAAAATAATCGGAACCCCTTTGAGCAAACCAATGAACACACCCATTTAGATAAACCCCAGGTGGATCAGCAGCACAATGAAGATAAGAGGAACCTTGAATTTTCCTCCAAGAATCAGATTTTAATGAATACACACTTACAATGGTGTTGGTTTCAGTAGTAGCTCCAGATTCGTCATCAACACCACCACCACCATAGTAAGAAAGCATCACGACCTTGTAATCATCAGTGGTCGAATCGTAACCTAATCCACACCGATTATACGCATTGACTGAATCGAGGGCAAAAGGGGATTCGGATATTTTCTTGGATTCTCCAGTCGATGGATTTAGCAAATACTTGTCGACATCAAATTCATTGAGAGCTAAAACCAAGCCATTGCAAGAACCCAGAATCTCGGACCACACGTCGTACGATTCAGCTTCAACTGATGGGAGGAAATTAAGCTTTGTTGCGACTGGAATTTGGGCAGAGTAGTCGACGGAGAAGAGAGTGTGAAAGTCGGAGATGAGAATGAGTCGATTGGGCATTTTGTTGGTGGTTTGAGTGAAGTGGGTTTGGGCGAAATGGGGATCGGAGATTAGGGAGTACCATGAATGAGATACAGATTTGAATCGGCAAATAGACTTGACTGGTAATCGACAGAGTACCTCGCCGATGAGCTCTTGGGGAAGGATTGGAGAATCGGACCTTGTCGCCTCCATAGTTCACACTTGAGGGATATACTGTATTTTCTGTGGTGATTAGGGTTCCTTATTCTGAATCCCATGGATAGGTCAAAACTGACCCAACTTTAATTTATTCGCTTTTAACCAGCTTTGATTGTATAAGATGCAGGTAGAAAGCTTTCAAATCTATGCTGGTTTCGATTTGAATAATATTAGATAAGGTAAAAAAAACAACAATGATTCCTCCCACTAAAAACATCATCACTAATAGCACTAATGCATTAAAAAAATAAAAAAAATACAACTTCAAGACCAAAACATCACATCATTAATGGCGGGATCCACTGCTACCTAATTAGTGGGAGCACTAATTAGTGCTCCCAAGCATTTTTCTAAAAAAAATATCATCAAATATATTATGAAAATTTCTCATTTTTTAATTAATACGTAGTATTTTATTATATATATAATTCAAAGATAGATAATCTTTTATAATTATTTTTATGATATTCTTTTTATGACCTTTAGCATTACTCTTTGGATTTTAAGATTCACATTTTTAAAAAAAATTTATTTTTTATTTTTCATATATATATACTAGTGTATGCCTGTGTCTAAAGGCACGGTGTAAATAATATTATAATTTATACGTATCATGTTAAAATTTATGAAGTCTAACATTTTTTTATTCTTCTTAAAGAACTTTCAATAATTTTACTTGTACGACACGCTCTATAAAACTTAATTAAAATAACAACTCCCCCTAACTTTAATGCAAATCAAAATAGTAAAATGTAAAGTAAAAAGAAATAAAAATTTATAACTCGTGCCTAAAGACACTCTCAACAATTTTTTTGGTATCTCACACTCTACAAATCTCAATTAAAATGAATTAATTCAAAATGACAACAATTTCACTACACTACATAACTCAATTAAAATAAATCAATTCAGAATGACAACAATTTCATTGCATAGAACTCAATTATAACAAATCAATTCAAAATGACATACTTCATGCATAAGAGGAATGGTGAATGAACATTTTGGTATAAAAGAATAATCATTATAGCTTAGTAAAAAACAAAAAAAACTAATCATCCAGTCAAGAATGAAAGACCAATCATTAACACACATAGAAAAAAGCAACACAACCACAACGTTTCTAATGTTGATCAGTCACCTGTAACAAATCACTCCAACACTTGAATTCAACTTTAAAAGATTAGCTAAAAAAAATCATAACAGGAAAACTCATTCAAAATATTTATGAGAAACAGGAAAATCAATAATTATGAATTAAGAGAAATTAAACATAAAAAAATTTCTAACATAACTCATCATGATAAAAGCATCAGTGTGTTCCCCAATTTACCCGCAATTATCAAACTAAATAACAGCAATTATCACATTCATAAGTATGTGATCAAAATACATGATTCCTTAGAAGGCTAACACCCCCCTCCTCCCCGTTTAAAAAAAATAACCATTAAAAAAATGTAACACTTAAGAAAATCCAAATAATCGAAACTGACTGTTGCCAACAAAAGCTAAGAGGCAAAACAAACTATTGTATTAAACCTAAAAAAACAGGATACCTAATCAAGGTTCCTCACCTTCATAAGTATGAAAGTGTATTGTAGATAATTGGTTAATTCTCTCCAAAAAAATTTGCCTTGAGTTGTAATGGAGTATTATAGAACTAAATAGGAAAAGCAATATGAAGTCTTGCACTTCCTTTTACGACCGTAGAGTTTGAAAAAAAGGACAATACTTCCAAATGCCTTCGAGAATTACCAAATGTATCCATCACTACAATCTGTGAATTAGTATTATAAAAGATTGGTTCAATTCCTTCGACTTCCCTGATCTGAAGAACCTTTACAGTTTGTTCACATAAAGCCACATAAGAAAAGTTAATTGAAGTAAGCATGTTAAATAAATAAATAGGCATTGAAATAAAAGTCAATTGAACAAAATTATTGACTACATCATGCATGATTTCATTAGACAGTGATGAGACTACTTGAATATTTCAAATCTAAGATCTTACACAATCATTAATAGTACATTATCCCCTATTTCTCACTTAATCCCATTAAAAGAAATAAGCTTAGAAATTACGAATGTATTTAAACTAATTAAGAAAATCCATGAGATCCATGGCCATCAAAGCCGCCATCAAAGCCACCATCTTGTTGTGCCCTTGGGTCAATATTCACTTATCTAGCTTTTCATTGGAAGATAAATCCGGAATATGCAAACCAAAAAAAAAAGAAAATCCTGCATGCGAGAACAAATTAAAATTTTTTGTTTGTGATGAACATAACAAATCTAGTAGTTCATGGCAAAACTGATATTATACCTATTACTACATTCCTAAGTATATATCAATGTCGGAATTAAGAAAAGACCGCAATGCTGCATTCAATTATTCGAACATGAGGAGCTTTCAGCATGATTTTTTTTTCTCTACTTCATAAATAAGCAGACTTTATTAAAAAGTATCAAGATGATGCAAAGAATACAAAAAATCAGCCCCCAAAGGGATAACAAAGCTAAGAAATCAAATCATTCACAAAATCTACAAAAGCCAAAACATCTGGATCAACCAAAACATTGACTTATTGGCTTATTCGAATCACACCACCTCTCTACTATCTATACATTTTTTCATAATAAGTCAAAAAACTAGCTTATGAGCCACATATAAACTTGACAAAACACAACATATAGGTAGCATAAAGTAAAAATTTAACAACAATACTAATATTATGAAGCATCAATTGTTTTATAGTCTTGAATCATACTAATATTTGAATTGTTAAATAAATAAATAAAAATTCAAGAACCATACCAGTTGATAAGAATTTTATTCAAGAACCATCCTGGGACTACAAAAAAATTGCAATGTCAACACTTTGAAAGTTGTTGAACCTCTTTTAAAATTTAAAATTTTTTTTTTAAAAAAAAAAAACTTTTGTTACTAAATAAAAAATTCAGCATCTCACCAAAAAAGAAAAAATAAGAAAGAAAGATGCGTAAATTATCAAAAGAATAATATATCAAAATAGTCCTTAAACTAATCTAGCGAAGGACCTATGCCTAAAGGCACTCCCCAACCAAAATGAAGCGTAAATTATCAACATCTGATATTCCTTAAACTCACTGTTAGCCTCACACTCCATTTTTAAACCTCAACAGTCCTCAAAGATTCAATTTTCTCAAGAAAATCAAATTAAGGATATTAATGCAACAAAGTTCTCTAAATATTCACCCAAAAAAAGGTTCACTCTAAATGGTTAACAACAAAGTCCAAAACAAAGAATAAAAAAAATAAATAAAAGAAAAGAAAAGCAAGCAAACAAATACAAATATAAATAAAGGAGCCCTCATATGATCTAAACAACAATGCTAGGAATACAGATGTTTAAAAACAAACCCAAAATAGAATTGTAAACATACACCAAATCAAAATCAAATTAGAAAACAAAGGTACATAAGGATCTCATCACAGCTTGAGTTAAAAATAGAAATGTTTTTAGAGATCTATTAGTTGGCATAATGGGAAAAGGAAAAAACCAAAAAAGGAAAAGCTCATTATGTAATGAAAAAGGCACAAAAATAGTGAAAGCAAAAATTAGAAAACCTAGACAACAAAAATTAGACTTTGATGAGATGGTGGGTAAGAGAAAGGGGCAAAGCTGAGGAGGAGTTGAGAGATATCTAGAATCTGAGATGGGTGAAGTGTTAAAAAATAGACTATTGGATTAAATTAATCTAGACCATCCAAATTGCCACATAGGACAAATACATTTTCAAAATCAGTGTCAGAAATGGACCGTGGATGAAAGGGAGAAGCAATCCTAATCATTGGATCAAATACTACCCTTCCTTGTTATATAGAATTTTCTCTAAAACTAAATATTTGGTTTTTTTCAAATTTATTCCCCCATCACATTGCCACCACCTTCTTTGTCTTTCCCTCCTCTACCACACACCCTCTCTGCCTCACCAACAACTTACCAAACCCATAAAGTTAGAAATTCAATAAAACCAAAGTAAATCAACCAATGTGCTAAAGAAATTTAAAAGCGCATCAACTAATAAAAAACCAAAAACATCAAAATCAACAACCAACAAAAATAATGATTCATTAAGCATAATATGAAAAGTAGATGTCAATGAATACCTTCAATTATTTGGATGATCTCATAAAAGCATAATCAGAATTAGTTCAATTATTTCCTGCAGAATAACGCAAAAGGTCATCTAGAGGGGATTCCACTGTAGATCATCAATTATTTACAATAGCTTTTCAATGTGAAAATTTCAGAAATTGATTTAGAAAAAACATAGCTTTTGAATGTGAAAATTGGCATACCTTTGACATAGCTTCACCATTCTACGACCGAGGAACCAAGAGACATTACAAATTCTCCTGTAATACAAATTAAATAAAAAAATAGATAAAAAAAATTATATCAGTAATGGGAATGGTTACAAAAAATACAAACAGATTTCATGAACCACGTAAAAAATATTCAAAATTATACAAACAATGATACTACAAAGAACATAAATTGTGCCTGAGAGAGAAGAGAGAGTTGTAACTTTAGGGGGGGGAGATCGAGCAAGGCTAGAGTAGATCGACAAAGTTGGGAAGAGAGTGGTTAGCACTTCATTTTAAAGCCAACTCACCAATAGGATTGGACTATATGATATGCTTCAACAATAGGATTTTAGTTTGAGGTGGTTGCTGATTTTGCATATGAGATGAAAAAAAAAAAAAAAGAGTGGAGAAGGTAGAAGAATTATCCCTCTAATAAAAAATTATACATATTATTTGGAATTTAGATGATAATGTTAGACCCAAAAAACCAATCTCGAACTTTATTTAACCCATTTACAAATGGATGTTTTCAAACAACATCAAAGAAATATTGGCATTTTCAGGGATTAGTAACACAATCTGACTCCAAACAACATCAAAAGAAAATATTAATGAATGTTACCATTTTTCTTACAAATTAATAAATCATACAATTTTTAGATATGCCACATTACCCTATATGCCACATTATAGGTGAAAACAAGTAAAGATTTTCACTACTCTATAAGTTCACCAACTAAGCAAACCCATGCGCAACATGATTTGTAGGGGAGATTATATAAATAGACACATGATGGGCCTCTCAAGTTCTCTCATACAAATTTAAACTTGAAAAAAAACCTAACCATTTTGTAAATTACTAAGAAACTTAATTGTCTCTTTTTATTTATTGAATGATATGTAATAATAAAATTTGATTGCATAGAAACTAAAACTATAAGTTTGATTGCATAGAAACCTGACAGACACTTAGTCTCAACGGAATCTTTGAGAAAGAGAGGTCCGTTTTTACAAATCTTAAACATTGAGATCCAAGAGTCATCTCAAGATTTCCTAGCAAACAAACCAAAACACAAAATAAAATCAAGTAATAAATTATCAATTAAAATAAAAATAAATATCAAAAAAAATTAACAAAATAAGTTAAACTTAATTCTAAACTAAAACTATAAGTTTGATTACAAAGAAATATGATAGAGAAACTCAGTCTCAATGGTGACTTCAAGAAAGAGAGGTCCGTTTTTACTAATCTCAAGCATTGAGATCCAAAAATCATCTCAAGATTTCCTGGCGAGCAAACAAATCAAAAGATAAAGTAAAATCAAGCAATCAAGCAATAAATAATATATTTACCAAAAGAAAACCAATCCATTTAAAAAAATAAAATAGAATGCTGTGAGATATTCCAGCTCTGCAATAAATAATTAGAGAGAGAAAGAATTAATTATTTGAAGTCAGATTGTTAACAAATCTAGTATTATAACCATGAATTATTTTCCATTACCATATAAATGTTAATTACCTTCTGTTATTTTACTATTCCATGATTCAATCCCAGGTCTTGTGTAGCCTCCAACAACCATTTATCCCCCCAAATAAAATGCTTATAATTATTTGCAGTGTACAATTAAAATATGGGAAACTTGATAGCATTTTTGACAATTTTACCATTTAGCTTAAATTATAACCATGTTCGTTATCAGTTGTAACTTGACAAAATGCAACATGATGTCTTTTTCTACACACACAAAAATATAGAGAGAGAATGTATTGATATGGTTGTTATCCCAAGTTCTATATATTCTACTTACATTATGATGGTTGCTCATTTTATTAGGCAATGACAATGCCAAATGAGAGAAAAACAACAAACAAAATACTTTTAGTTTTATTTAGCTAAGAGTTAATTGACATATTAGCTTATGGACTTCACAGTTCATCATTAGCTAGTTGGTGAGGGTGACTTATCTCAGAAATGAAACGAAAGTCTAGGCAACAACACATTGTCCAACTTATCTATTTAACCGTTGGATCTAAAGTTTGGAATGATCTCAGCCAAACTAACAAAATGTAAGAGATATGGTATGCATATTGCAAAGCATTCAATAGATGGGAAGTGTCTGTTGAATATCATACCATAATAAAAATCAATGGTGATGATTCACCTTGGCACACAGTTCCAGAGGCCTGCAGTTGAAAAATAGCAAGGAAGTGTCTGGTGGAAGAGAATAGCATTCAGTTTTGTGTCAGTAACAAATAAAAGATTGGATAAATAAATAATTTCTATTTTAGAATTTAAATAAAGCTTTTTTTTTATTTTAAAAAAAAAAGTTCAAAATTAAAGGTACCTTGAACATTACATTGTCAACAGTTAAAAAGTACTTAGATGAAATCAATTCAAAACTCTAACTTCAAATGAAACTTTTCCCAAACCAATTCCATCAAGACCTTAAGCTGAGGACAAATTTCACCAACTAAAACCAAAACAGAGCAAACAATACACACTAAAACAAAGTTAAACTACCTTTTCCAGATTATTACAAATAAAAAGAATGAAAAGGACAACTTAAAAAACTTTAAAAGGGCCAAATTTATTCAATACCACAATATATTCACATCACACCTTGAAAACAACTAAAATAACCTTGAAATTTTCATGTTTCTTTGATTGAACAGAAATTAATTTTTGATTTAACAGAGGGGGATAGAATCACCAGAAAACAACTGAGGTTCTACTGGATTTCAAAAATTCAAAACAGTAGAAGGAGCACCTGAGGGGGGGGGGGGGGGGGGAGGAAGCACAATTGAATGGTGTGCATGTGCTGTGAGCTGGAGAAAAATAGATATTGCAATTCTCTTGCAGAAACATTGTCTCCAAAATTATTTAGGAAAACATTTGCTGCCATGGAGAGAGAGAGAGAGAGACGTGTGTTCAAATTTTGAAATCAGAAAGAGATGAGAGGGGTGTGGGTGAGAGAGAGAAGGAGAGGGTGATTACATTACATTTTGGATTGAATTTTCAGCCTTTGGATTGAATGAATCTAATGGTCTATATTTTGATAAAGGGACAAAAGTCCAAATAGAAGTGAGACATTTTCAACCATTGGATTGAATCAATTTAATGGTACATATTTTGACACATAGGCAAAAGTCCTATCAAGATTCAAAAACCTTTCTCCCTTATTATATAGATATACATACTGAAATCATACATAAATAAGGGGTTTAGGGTTTGGAATCATATATATACAGGAGGTTTGGAATCATATATATATAGATATATATAGATATATACATACATATTGGAATCATTCGGTCTCTGAATCTCTGAATCATATATAATCATATATAAAATTATGTATATAATCACATTCACATTCATTCGGGTCATCCACACACATTTATCATATATGATAGTTTAATTTATATACATGATTTGCATTTGAGGCAACCACACACAAACCCCTAATGCATCACAGAACCAATACAATGAGCTCCACTTTTGATTGAATCCATGTGTGTCCGCATCTACAATTTCACATATATATATACATGTGTATTTATGCATATATATCCTCCTAAGCCTTAAAGCTAATTGAAGGTATAGATTAGATTTAAAATTATCAGAAATTAAATTAAATGGTTGAATCAGTACCAGATTTTATCGAGTAATCCCCATAGAAATTTCCCAAAAACTATTATGGGCTACGATGATTCTACACTTTTTTACAATCCAGGCACTGAAATCCCAAAACAGTACCAAACAACAATTATGTGCAATCATGACTCTACACTTCAGATAGCTGTCAATTATTGCAAACCAAACAAAAAAACCCATTTACTTTTTCTTTTTTCTTTTTTTTTAAAATCTTTTAATCTTAAAAAAAAATCCAACAAAGTCACATCAACAAATCAGAATTAGAACAATATAACACACGAAAAACAAAAATAAAATGCCAATAAAAATCAAACTCATAATACCCAGCAAATCTGCAAAACGGGAAGTTTTGTGCAAATCAGTTCAAAATTCCACAAAACCAATAGATCTCAAATCAAATTAATAGAAACAAAAGGATTAACAAAATAGAAGCAGAAAATTAAGGCACATACATAACCAGATATACACACATATATGCATTAAAATTCACAGGAATGATTGGATTGAAACGAAGAATTGTTGAGTCACCTAGAAACCGATGGAGATGAGATGTTTGGCGCTGAGAAGGAAGCGAGAGTTTTGAGAGGAAGGTGCCTCGATAGTTTGGAGGCTGTCGAAACCCTAGTCCCCAAACCTTTACCATACTCTACCATCAACTGATTTCAAAATGTGTAGCACGTCTAATGGAGAGAGAGAGAGAGAGAGAGAGAGAGAGAGAGAGAGAGAAAAGGGGGGTCTGATTTCAAAATTTGAAATCAGAAACCAGAAACAAAGAGATGAGAGAGAGAGAGAGAGGGTTAACACTGTGAGCCATTGGATTAAGTTCAATCCAATGGTTAATATTTTGACAAACGGATAGAAGTCCCATCCAGGAAAAAAACTTGAGCTTCCTTATTATATAGATATATTTTTTTTTTTACTGAATTTTTTTTAATATTTTAAATAATTTTTAAAATTTTTTGATACACTTAACATAAATATATTTAAAAAAATATAATATTTGTAATTTTTTTTAAAAAAAAAATCACTAAATACCAAAAATATAAAAATAAAAATAAAAATTCAATATATTTTTCATATTCCTATGTACTTATTATTTTTTAAATACTTTTTACAAATATTTTACTCTTTAGATATATCTGAATAAAGTGTATCTAGAAAAATAAAAAAATTATTTAAATTTTAAAAATATTCAGTAAAAATAAAAAAAATATGAAAAATAAAAAAATTCAATTTTTAAAAAATTAAAATCAAACACAATAATTTATGTTCGGATGAATAATAGATGAGAAGTCAACCAACTTAACTTGATGTGTCAACCCTCTTTAACAAATGATGTTATATTTTTATGATTTTTATTCTTTGTATGTTAAAAGAAAGATATTTATTTAGTAATAATATCAACTATTTATTAAATATGAAAGTTTTATTTTTATTTTAATTATAAAAAATTTTGGATTCAAATAAAGTATTTATTTAGTAATAATATCAACTATTTATTAAATATGAAAGTTTTATTTTTATTTTAATTATAAAAAATAAAAATAAAATAAAAAATTTTGGATTCAAATAAAGTCTAAAATAATTTTAAAAAAATACTCTAAAATAGTTTTTTTTTTTAAACATTAAATAGTAAAGTCCAAACTGTCAAATCGATCTACATCTATCTACCAACTCGCATGGTCCGCTCAATCCATATCTATTAACTAAGCGGACAGATATTGATTAATTTTTTTCAATTCACCTAAGTTTGGACAGATAGCAAATAAGAGGTCACCCAATCCGCTAGCACCCCTAGTGGTCATGGATGCCAATAAAAATATAGATAAATTACATTTTTCTCTCTTTTATGTTTGTTTATTTTTTAAAAAAAAATTAATTTTTTTTTTCATTTTAACCCTTCATATTTTAAAGTTTTCTTATTTACTCTAAAATCTAATTTATGTCCAAAATTAGATAAAAATGACATATTAATAGTCATATGGTATAACAATATTTTATTACATATATCTCATACATCTAGCATAAATCTAAATTCTAATATAATAATTTTTTTTGGGGGGTGTATAAAAAAAAGTTAACTTATATTATATGACAGTTAACAACGTGTTTTCTATCTAATTTTGAACAAAAGTTAATTTTTAGAGTAAATTGAAAAATATTTGAAACATGAAGGGCCAAAATGGAAAAAAAAAAAATCAAGGGTTAAAGTGAAAAAAAATGAAAAAATATAAATAAGGCAAACTGTAATTTTAAAAATAATTTATTTGAATAAATTACATTACGTTGCCCTTAAGTTTTACCTTTTTCCCCACTTTTTTTTTTTCCCACTTTAACCTTTAATATTTGAATTTTTTTCCCAATTTACGTAAAAATGGGTGATTTACTCTTTGCTCCTTTTAAAGTATTTTTTTCCCACTTTGATTATTAATGTTTGTGATATTTCTCAATTTATTCTTAAAACAAAGTACTATCCAATTTTGAATAGAAAAATGTCACTTTAGTATCCATGTTGCATAAAAATAAATTATATTAAAATTTTATGAGTTTTTGAATTTTTTTTTGAATAAATAGAAACAAGTTTGACAAAAATAAAGACTAAAAAATATATTTTTGAATTTTCAAAAAATATTTTGTTTACATAAGAGAGAAGTCATATAATGTTCTTATTTATTTTTATTTCTTTTCACCAAAATAATTTTTGAATTTAAAAAAAAATTATAAAAAGAAAACACTATGGTACACATAACTACAGAAGTAAATAATATAATTTCATACTTTTTGAATCATAATTAAAAAAAATAGGGAGCTTTTTTGATAAATCCATTTTCTAAGAGCTTTATTCCATCTAACCCATATTCTTTTTTACTATTCCATTAGGTCCAATTTGAGATAAGAAGACCAAAATACCCTTTTCATCTACTTATGTTCCATGTAGTTCACATTATTTTCTTATGTTTCAATAAGTCCTATGGGTGACATAATTACCAAAATATCCTTAATGTGAATGTTCACACCGTCAATGTAAATGTTCATATCGTCAATGTGTAAGGGCCCGGCCCATGTCGATCCTCGTGGGTGCCTGGAAAAATTTGAGTCGGACCGGACCGGCAAATAGGTTAAAAGGTTAAATCTAGGTTTTTTTTTTTTTATTGGTAATTTCCTTTATTATTTTTGATAAATTACTATTATACCCTTTAAGGTTGGCTTAAAATACAAATCACCCCTGTAGTTTGAAAAATTACCTTCCATCACTGAGATTTATAATTTCATAATAAATAAAACATTTTATTAATAAATTATCGAGTCAATTAATAATTTTTAACATGTCAAAATTTATTTTAATTAATAATTTAGGTAATTTTGTCATTATATAGGAGAGCAGTTGAGAATTTTATTTTTTCAGTTAATTATGTTAAATATAAAATTCTTACAATGGGATATATTTAATTTTTCAAGTCATAGGGAGTAATCTGTATTTGAAACAAATTTCAGAGAATGCATTTTAAATTTCCAAAAATCAAAGAATTTGAAATATATTACCATAATAGGTAAGACCATGGTATACACTCTTTAAAAGATGTGTACCATATGTACTTTATAACTACAGAAGAAAATGACATAAGTCCATACTTTCTGAGTCATAATTACCACACAAAAAAAAAGTCATAACCAAATACACAAAAATCATAACTAAATATTTCAAAATAATATCATAACTAAAGAAGAAAAATGATCATAAATGAAAAAAAAATAACATAACTAAATATATATATAT